ACCTGCTCTTCCTTTTAGTTCCTTTATCATCATGCTTCATCAGCCTGTGTTCGCTCTCATCAACATCATCGGCATCAAAAACTAAGGCAAGGTGAAAGTGTTCTAATTTCGGGGAAGAAATCTAACATTATCTTTAATCATGAACAGATGTCATCATTGCTGCAAACCTCCTTCTTATGTAGCTAAATAACCAGAGAGTACTGTCCTAATTCTTTTTAAGGCTAATTGTCTTCAAGTCTGATGATCAGTCTGATGATCTTCAAGTCTGATGATAAAGGTAGCATAAAGCTTTGCCTCAGCTACTCATTTACTCTTCTCTGCTGTCCAGCTGTAGAGCCTCATCCAAAGAATGGAACTGGGGAACTGATCTGCTTAAAAATGACTTCTTTTCCCCTAGATTAGTTCTCCTATCCAGTTCACCAAATAACTCTACAAACTCTTGCGCTGCCACAAAAGAAGGTGCAACTGGGAGACGCAAACAAGCAGCCATCTGGCAACACCAGCTTAGAGAGACCATCAAGTTACAGTGCAAATCAGCTGGCCTTTTGGCCATCCTTTCCTTAGCTCTACATTTTCTAATATGCAAGACAACCTTCTCAGTTTATTAGACTTCTTTTCCTTACTTGTAAGATCTTAAATAATGTTAAAAATCCTTATCGAGTCCCCCTTCCCCTTGAGATACAAGTTTCCTCCTATTCAAAACTCTGAAATCTCAGTGTAATCATCTCAATAACTTGTCCCTTAATTTTCCAATGGCTTTGTTTATACTTTCTTTTTGCTTATATGAAATAATGAAGATTACTTTCTGTAAACAACTTTTACGGCTTTTTTTCCGAAAGCTTCAATCATACTTCTCTCGCTCTGACCAATTTCTTAGCTGTGCTGTACATATTGCATATTCTCTGAATGGAAGTAGGAAAATCACCTCTTCTAGTAACACATACTCAACATAAATGTAATAATATGAAAAGCTTATAACGATCACTACTTTAAAGCAGCTTTTTAAAGAGCTAGATCTGCATCTCTAGTGAAAGAATTCAACATTATTATGGAAACGTGCTAGCTGGCAAATCAGGTAAACATGCTAGCTGCAGCCAAGGTGAGCTCTGTTGCCCTGAGACAGCACACAGCCCCAGCACTCGAACGTCCTCTCTCCCTCAAGAACGTAAGAGGAAGCATCAGTGCCCCAAAACTCCATGAGACAGAGGAAAGGGAGAGCGCCACTGCATTTCTTAACATGCCATACAATCATCATTTAAAAGCATTATTTAAGCAACAGTTTCATGCCATGTGTACATTGGTTCACGCTATCTTAATTCTGCTTGTGTCTATTCATACGTTATATTTTCATCTTGCCAATATTTGGTAAGGTGCAGTTTTCCCTATAAAATCTACACATCAGCTGGACATGCAGGATCAGCTCTCTGACCGCCTTGTACTGCTCCTGACATTTCCTTAGCAACTTAAATACGTTCTCCCATAATACAGTTGTATGTAGAATCCTACTGCTTTTTTTCAGAAAAAAGTAGACTATAAAATCATGCTGTTTCAATTTGCTTTAGAGATTTTAAAACTTCTCCATTTCCTGGCTTTTTACATTGTGATCTCTCAATACTGCATTAGCACTTTTTTCTCATTCAATAGATTTGAAATATATTCTCTTGCATTGTTAAATTTCACCCTTGCAGTGAAAGTAAATGGTGTGGAAGTCAAAGAGGAAGAGAACCAGCGCTTTTTGCAACATCTTTACTAGTTGGAGCAATTTATCAGCAGAAAGGAAACAGACTGAGCATAGAATATTTTTTAAATATCACATACGTTAGTGCTGTTGCTTAAGGATAACTTTCTCAACAAATCTACATACAAGTTTATATTACTACTGACTTAGCATGACAGAGTTTATTGGTATCTGTTCCTGATGAACCATCTACAACACTGCATGTTACTGCAAAATGTTTTTCTGAGGTGGCAACTAAATTAAGAAAAGACAAATCATTTTAAATGGTCTCTTTCTAACTTTAATTAGTATAGTCAATTAATTTTAAAGGTGATATTAAAAATTGTTCACAGTTTTCTAGCCATTTTATTTTTACAATAATTCTTTCTCCTTGCTTCAGTCCTACTTACATGTGAATTTGTAAGGCTTCCTCTCGAATATTCCTCACGAATATTTCTCATCTTTTATTATTTCAGTTTTGCCAATATAGGATTTTTTTGGTGCTTTGTAATAAGGGCTTTTCTATTGCTAATAAATGGAAGTTTCCATAATAAAACATTTCTATTATTAGAGAAAAAAGTAAAACCAAAGAACTGTATTCAAGAAAAACAAGAGGAAGAAAACAGATACGAGTATATTCCTGTGCGATGTGGCATTTATTATCAGCGTTCATAAGCCATTTAACGTCTCCCTCACTAGGCTCTAGGCATTACTGAAGTTGTTTCATCCTACATTATCTGTTCTGTTGGCAAAGTTTTGCTAAATCACTATCAGATGATTGATCAGGCTTAATATTTAAGAGACTGTTTCAGATTAAGGTGGGTCAGATACCAAAGATCTTGAGATGGAACGAAGGCGCTGCTTAATCTGTTGTATGAATTCAGGTATTTACCCATATTATGTGACCGTATGTTCCATTCACTCTCTCCTTTCGCATTAGCAACATCTTGGTCCATGAAACAGAAATAGAAATATTTTGAATATATCATGCCACTCCAAACCAGATTTAAAAAAAAAAAAAAGAAGCAAAAAATACAACATGTTTACAGAGGAAATGATCAGTTCAGCATGGTTTTCACTGTTTCACTATTGACTAAATGTGTCACACATGCACAAATGAATGAAATGACGCTCATGCTGAAAACGTTGTTGGATCAGCATGAAAGACAGGTTGCTCTTACCTTACCTAGACCAAGCTACCTTCCAGAGTGTGTCATCTGACTAAAATACACTACTTTCCTTCCCCTTTTACTTAATTGTGTGAAAGTACAAAATAGATATCAATTTATATCCACTTGTTTTTCTGCCACTGGTTACTGTCATCAATATAAGCGTAAAATACTTAAAAGATTGGCAAACTATGGTTTTTCACACTGTAGGCATTATTTCAGTAAGACATAACTTGCAGAGGAAAAAACTCCTCACACAACACAAATGCTAATTATTCTGTGATTTCAAGTTTAAAACTGAACTGTCAGATAATTAGGTGATTAAATTTTCTTCAAACTACACACTTGAAAAGACATCAGCTGTCTGCTTAGTCTCTGCACAGTGATAAGTGTCAATGATATCCAGGTGTCAAAGTATTATTAGACGTAGGCCAACATCCTAGAAGACTCATGATCTGTATTTCTTCTGAAATTGTAAAAATTGGATTTTAAAAGCACTGACAAGTCCTAAAAACGGGTTGAAAAAGCACTGAGCCTCCTTGAAAACTGCAAGACTGCATCCACATGCCTGTGCTAACAAACAGTTTCTTATATCCCAGGTCCTATTTCATGACCTTTGCATGAGAGGACTCCAACACTGGTTTCATCGTACCTCCTGCTCACTTCAGGCAAGCATGAATTTCAGAGTTACAAAGAACAGAAGGAGGAGGAAGCTGGAAAGTAAGCTTAGATCATGAATATGCACAGAAAAAGTAGCAAATATAATACATATTTGAAATTTGCTCTCTTTCTGACTGTATTTGTAGCCCTTAAGAGTCTTGTTCTGTGAAGAATTTGGCCTGACTGCCTGCAATATTCTTAAGGGTTTATTGCAACCTCACATATATAAACATAAACCAAAAGCAAATGCTGGATTATATTTTGAATGGGGTATTGAAAACTTGTACTGGTTCTCGTTAAGAGTCTATTAACTCAGAATAGCTAATATTCTGGCATTATTTCAGGAACAGTGTAACTTAACACAGTTTTGCAAGTCTGAAACTGAAGATCTCCACTTGATAGGTCACGAGCTAAAAGAAATGCAGCGTATGGAACGCATCCAGGCGGACGAGCCCCTCAGACGCCAGTCTCGAGGAGCGCAAGGCAAAGACGACAGTACGATTTCCAAAAGCCAGGCTGAATTTGTCAGAGCCAGCTCAGAGGCAGAGGTAATAATCTCTGTTTGACACAGGCTGCATTTGTCTGCGCAGAGATACAACTAACTTCTCACAGAGCTATTTCAAGCGCATACGACTAACTAACTCATTCGTCCCGATGTACGACAGCAGCTGAAGTACAACTTTCAGGCCAAGCTGAGGCCAGAACAGCTGTACTTGCAAATCACTTTCTAGGCCATTAACAAGGTCTCAGAGGTCTCTTTACCAACGGCATGGTTCACTGTAATCCAGATACAAACAGCCCATGGATAATTTACAGTTGACCATAAGGTACAGGGGAGTCTTTAACTGGCTATCACGGCCAAGTCAGAGAAAGCACTACAGTAACTATAGTTCCAAAACGGTCCTCACTTCGCTCTGATTTTGCCTATCTGATTTCAATGTCATAAAAAGCCACTGACAACTACAGAATTAAGTAACAGAAAGGCTCTTTGGAGATAATTGCCACATACCACAGCTGCTCTCAAAAGACAAATCAAGACACCCTTATTTCTAAAGAACCGCAGTGACTTCACAGAGCCACCTATTATCCAGAGGTTCTTCCTGTTGGAACAAAACAGAGCGCAGGGTAGGGCAAGCATTTCAAGAAGCATCAGTTCCCGCAGCACGGGACTCCTGGCTGGAAGGGCAATAACGTTAACCTCATCAGAAAGCTCATGTGCGTATAGCACAGCAAATCCATAAAAATACCTGGTAATCCAGAAGCAAATTCTTTACAACAACTCAAGAGTGTTTCCTTTCCAATGGCCAGACTTATTTTGAACTTCTAGAAAAAAAGGAGCTTTTTTTAGCTAGGTTAAAAATCAACATTCAGTTTCTATCACTGCCTTAAAAAATGAGCCCACTTTTGATATTTAAATAATATAACGACAAGTAACACTGGAGATCATTACTTACTGGACTCCGGGTCTGAGTTGCCGTCTCCTTCTGTCCGGCTGTTGGGTGAAGCCTGCTCATAGTACTCCTCCTGGGGGAAGCCAAGGGGCAGAGGGTGTGATGTGCTGGCACCGCTGTTGGGTTCATGGTCTCCAAGCCCACTGTCACTGCAGCTTTCCTGGGAGCCATCTGGTAGGTGAAACGTGACACGGCGCTGAGACTACAAGGAAGGAAGAAAATTATATGGTTTCTACTACAGTATCAGTAATTGCTTAATGCAACCAATTTAGGAAATGTATTATTTCAGCTATCTGCTGAAGACACATTATCTACAGTTGTGCACAATTTCAGGCTTTCATGAACAAGCAAGCCCTGCTTTCAAACCTGCTTCGCTTGACAGCAGCGCTTTTTTCTGTTTTTTAAAACTGTAAGTCCTGATACAAAATGAAAGACACCTGACACTAAAGAGATTCTGTCAGACTTCACAGGTCTTTGGATGCCTTTTGTATATTGACTTGGAGATTTCAATCACTATTTGAGGCTCAGTTTATTTCTCTGCTAAGTTTTCTAGTTTTCAAAAACATTTTCTTTCCCACTAAAAGCCTGCTTCACACTTTTGGGCCTAAAAATGTGTCATACTTCTACTGTTGTGTTTTTCTAAGTCAGGGAAAGAATAAGAACAATCATTATGTATCGAAAACAATTTAAATAGATTTTACACACCCATTGAACCTGAGTCACACGTAGCTTCCACCACTTTCCTTCAGATGTTTCGCTACAAGCATTTTGTAGCACATATACCACAGATCTGTATCTTAACAGTACAAGGCTTCAACCTGGGAAATATAGAGAACTGAGGAAGCAAAGCTGTCACAACACAGCTGTTTGTTTACTTGAAAAAGGGGCCAGGTAAATAAAGTACCTGAAGTATTAAACATAGAACAACATTTTCATTATTACATAAATGACTTTGAGTGAGTGATTTGAGAGCAGAGTAACTGAACTGGAAAACTATCCAAGTATTAAAAGACAATATGTAAGCAAGTGAATAAGCAGACTCTCCTGCTTGCGTCTCAGGAACATGAAGGAATAAGGTTCAGAAAAACAGAAGACAATTTAAAACATTCTTAGCTTAATACTATTCAAAATCTCTTTTGAAAGCCAATGAAAAACCACGCGGTTACAGAATCGCTGGGATTACTAATGCCAGAGATTAGATCTTTGATGCAATTATGCAGAAAAGTATATATTGTGTTTATAATACAACAGATATTGTCAGAGATCCCTATATGTTTGGTCCTTATAAGTGACAGTGTTGAACACCATCAGTTACACGAAGTTTTTGCTTAAAAAAAAAAAAAAAGTTCCTCTATTTTCAAAATCTCTTTTTATCACTGTGACATTATTACATATGCCCAAAGACAGCTGCTGTACAGCATGGTAAAGCCAAGAAAATAGCAAGATCAACTTTACGTATGTCATTTCTGACAGATGTTTGTCAAAATTGTTCTTAAAAGCTACCAATAAGAAATTCACAGCTTTCCCAGAAAATCTATTCCAATGCTTCACCATTTACCAATGGAGAGGTTTTCTTCTGATGTCTAACTCGACTCTTTCTTGTTACAAAATAAATCACTACTTCAGTTCCATCCATCACAGTCTGGTTATTCCCACTCATCTTCTCGATATTTTATCACTTCACTTTACTTCAGAATAAACAGACCTTATTATTTCAATCTTTCATGTGTCTTCTCATCTTTCTTACTGCTCTCCCCTGCAGACGTGCTCATGTATACACACATTTTTGTGCACTGCTCAAAACTGGTTACAGGACTTCAGCCCAGACCTTTAAAGCAGGGAGCAGCACAGAAGGACCATTTCCCATCTCCTGCGACATCCAACTCTACAGGTTGCACCACTGCTTTGCCTTTTTCATGGCAGCGTAACAAGGTTGCCCCGGAGTCCACTACAATGCCTAGATGCTTTTTCTATGGATTTTTTTGCCAGTTGTACCTTTTCTGGTCTGTGCAACTGATTATTGGGGCCTAAGTGCAGCACTCTGCATTCATTCTTTTGGATACAATCCCATTTTCCCAGATGATTTCTTCCATATCATCAAGCACGTTTACGCCTTCTAACCCTTCTTTCGGACACAGCTCAGCAGGTTTATCAAATTCGCAGACATCAGAGATTCTACCTCATCGTGCAGATCTTTAAGAAAAATTGGAACAGATCAAGACAAGGAATCTGTTGAGGATCTCTGAAAACCCCAGCACAGCATTACATCGCATCACGCAGGACAGAAAGGAGAGAGGAGATACCACCGGTGACTGCAGGAGAGGCTCTAGAACCCACTGGAAAAAATTTCAGAGGGTGGAAAATTCAGAGCTGGTTAGCACATCCACACACGTTTTTGGTGTCACCAGAAGAATCTTATTTAATAATATAGCTACTTGTCTGCAGCCGTTTCCACAGTCTCAGCTGGGCTCTCTGGAACACCACTAGGGACAGTGCACCCTCTCATCCTGCCTACTACTCTTTTCCTACTGCAGACACCACCATGGGACTACATGGGCTGTCTCTACACAGTTCTGAAAATCAGATGGTTTCAGAGAAATTACTAATGCACCTTTGACCTTTATCCTATCCTACCTCTCACTTTTCCATTGCTTCTCAGACCGCTATTTATACTAGCATTCTCAGTACACTATTATCTGAAAAACTGGGCTTATGTTGAGTTGATCCATCAAAAACATTCCCACAATGTTTCTCATTTACTCCTTGTATACAAAACTGCACCTGGCTTGCATATAAGTATAGTTACTGCATGTGGAAATTGAATATATTATTTCATATATTTTTTCTTAAATGAGACCTTGAGTGACAACATCAATTACATTTATAATATTTATGACTAATCAAACTTCCTTGCATAAACTGTTCACAAAACCTGTGTATTTTTACCGTGTTTTACATTGCTTTTGTGCTGCCTGGCACTGAGCATGTGTTATTTGTCACCCATGCTGGAGGGTATCTTCTCACCTTCAAGCTCCTAGTGAACTGTAAGAATAAAAAATATTTTTCAAAAGCTATTACCCCAAGTTTCAGATTTAGATACCAGTATTAGCTTCTGAGGAAAGCTTAGACTGCAGTGGTTACTATTATGTACAATTGGGAGTCGTTATGTTTAAACAAATTAATTTTTCTGTTCATGGTTTGTAGTCAAACTACAGCAGAAATTCTTCAAAAGATGACAGTGAAGGAGACTAGAAAGTCACTAAGTCTTTTATTAATTGCCTACTCCTTTGAGGAAAAAAAGAAAAAAAGAAAAACCAAACCCCAAACAAAATTAAAGCCCTCAATAAGTAGCCCCCACACTCATTATCAGATTGCCTGCAAATATTTAGTTACAGAAATTGAGATACTATTACTAGCAAAGATAAAAACATATGATTTAAAATAAACTGGCATCAGTTAAAGGCCCATGATCTTTAGATTTGACAATGTCCCTGAATATGTCACACCTGATAATAGTGATGACAAAGCACTTACTTCTGGAAGAATGTATCAAGATGAAAGAAAAAACAGCCATTTCTCAACATAACAGTGCTGCCATTTTCCTAATTCATGCAGACATCAGACAATGATCTGGAACAAGTCATTCTAATATAATTTTGCCAAAAGCTAGGACTTATCTTCTGTCACATTTATTCTGGAAATTTCCTCCTTGAGGTATTTAAATTTCAATTTATAAGATTAGAAAATATCCTCAGACTCCAGCTGTTTTTCCATTTATCTCCAAAGGGAGTTTACACCGACAGTAATAGAATAACAAGGATTATCGTTTGTTTTATTTATTTGACTGAAAGTTAGTATTTTTTTCCTAAAAGACAAGAGAAAAATACAAGCAAAACCATTATGCATTCTTCTTGGACTCCAAAAACACTGAAGTAGAATGAAAACTTCAGAGAAATTTGTAGTACAGATAATCAGAATGATAGATGAAAATAAAGTGAAAATTTAAGGAAAAAATGTACCATATTCTGTAGTTTCCCTGATATATTTAACAATATTGAATTATTCTTTATGGCTATACAATATTGAATTATTCTTTATGGCTATGAAAAGAGAATTTTGCTTCCAGAGATGTCAAGAGCCCAGCCATAAATCCTGTCAGAGGTCTCACATGGCATCCAAGAAAGAGCTTGCATTTCGTAAAAGCAGCGTATGTCTAGAGGGAATTATCTCAGAAATCCTCAAACCTTTTACTCTCATTACTGAAATTTATATGAAGACTGATCAAAGCCTCAAACTATTCTGTGTTCAATCTTTCACTACAATAATTAGACTGTGGCAGTGGGAATAATAAAAGATGAGTCTAAGTAAATAGCTTTGGATACACTGAAGAGATGATTTCTGGAATTATACACTAGGGGTTAGCCAATTTATAATCAAAAACCGAAAAAACGTAATAGAAAAAGCAGCAGATATCAACTGAGGAACATTAAACTATTAACCTTATTATCTTCATTCATTGAAGCAAATGAATATCCTTTTAAAAGGAGATCCTAAAGAAAAGAAAGAAATATTACTTTTTAAGTTATGTTGAATTAATTGCATTATTTAGATGATAATTCTGATTTAGAACAGACCCTATTTAGGAGATGCTCTAAGATAGCATGGAAACAAGAGAAAAGGACTACTTCAACCTTTTTCTGCACTGTAAAGCAGCCAGTGAACAGTGATCAAAACATATTTTTTAATTTTAACATCTATTCTTTGCTATTAATATTCATTTTCTCAGTTGGTTATGCCTTTCAAATGCGAGGAAAGTGTGAAACCCATATGATAAATAACTTGACAACAACCATCCTCAGTAGTGACCAACAGTTCTTCTCAACAGTTCTTAAAGAAAATCCCTATTCAAACTATAATTTCCAGCTCAAATCTTTTTATACTTAACTATAACTTTTGTTGTAACTGTAACTACAATCTTTTGTTCAATATGCTTTGATGGACACACACAGAACGCAGCTCTTAGCAATGTAAAATTCTCAGAATCACATAAAAGGAAACCGCTTAAAAGGATCCAGCTCCAACCCAATGGGAAACAAGTCATTGTACTGGAACTCAAAAAAGAAAAGACAGCATTTTTCCTTTCTCTAAATTTATTAGGGTAAAATATTGCTATTACAGCCCAAACACTTTCCAGCTATCGTTTTACAACTCTGTATTTCACATACTTAATGTCATTCAGAGCTGTAAATCTAATTTAACATATTAACAGCACAATCTAAAAAAAAAAAAAAAATTAAAAACAGAATTACTGTAAAACCCAATAAATAATTCTGGTTTTGTTCAGTCCCAGCTCAGCCAGGGAACCTCACCCTTTTCTCAACTAATTTGAGCCTGTTTTGCTCTAAGAAATCTCTTCCAAGTCATACCCTGAACTTCAATTAAGTAGACAAATAGACAGGAGCTTTTAACACCTCACTTTAAAACATTATCTGATTTGGAGTCATTCTCGCGAGTCAGAAGCGTAACATTTATAAACTCCTTGCCATAAGGTGCTGCGGGTGAAAGGCTTGCATGGTTCAGGCGGAGAGCTCCACTGAGGGCTACACTAACTAGAGCCACATAACACCCTGACCTGGAAACAGCCGGAGCCCGCGAGTTTGAAGGGGATATCTCATGTACTCTTGCCCTCTTTTTACTCTTCCCTGGGTATCTGTCTGTAGACACTGCTGGGTACAGGCTAGAAGAAGTCCTCGTCTTCACCAATATGATAATCACTGGTGGACAAAAGATTACAGAGAAGTTACACTATGGTGTTCTCAAGGCCATACAGCAGTATATGCCTACTTCTATACGTAACAGAACACTCACCATGTATGGGTTCTTCAGCTGTAGCTCAACACTTTTCCCTCCGTAGCTGTACAGACTTTTAATTTGGATGTAGAAGCACTAAAGCCTTCTCTGTATTATTCAAATTGGGCCACCTCGCTACATTATCTAGATTATTTTGTAATGAAAAAAATATTTAATCTGGCATATTACCATTTATCACTCAAATCTGAATAACTTCTAACTTTTCAGCAGCAATAATCTGTATTTTCTTTTGGAGCATCTATAAAGATATTCAACAGTCTTAGTCACCATTATTAGGTACAACTAGAAACACCCTATTAATAATGAATTCACTATCGTAATCACCTCTTATGATTTAATGGTTTTTTTTTTTAATTTCTTCAATATGGCCTACAGTCATCCTGCACTGGACTACTTTAAAAAAAAAAGAAAGATGAAGGGCTTCTCTACTGGGGTGGGTACTACACATCAAAGTAACAGCATTCAGCTAATTTGACTATTATAAATTCAATTCCAAGTATACATTAAAATCAGCATTTTTCCCTTCTCACAGAAAAAAGGAAAAAGCCTCCAAATTATTGCCAATATTGTAATCAACCTTACTTGTCATCTCATAAAGATCAGGCCTGTTGAACAAGCCCTCCTTCTTATTAAACAAGCTCAGCTGCATTAGCTACTGTTCTCTTTATCGATTACATCCCTTTAAGCTTCTAATTTTCTTCATGTTTGTCAAGTCAAACAGATCTACTCTTGCCCAGTTTACCATATTTACCCTTTCAATATTGACATTACATTTTCCGATGCCTGGAACTCCAGAAATCCAGGATAAATCTAAGTTTTCACAGAACTCCTTTTGACATCCTTGTTGCAAATTTACCTAGTCCTTTTGATTTAAATCTCTTTAACATTAATAACTGGTATCTTTAATCCTCACTAATTACTAATGGAAAATACAGCATCTGGCTTCTGTCTAAAAAACAGAAAGCTTTGATAAATGCTTTTACTGTTCTTCACTGTGATTAATGATATAACTGTTGTGGAGTACTACGAGATGGGTAAATAGTTCTAGGCTTTCACTCATTCTTGATCTAAATAGCTCCTCCTACTTAATTAATTTATGTAGATAGTGGAAGCATAAGCCATTAATTTCCAAAAGGCAAATGAAAGCTTAGCGGGCTGCCCAGATGAATGCCGGGTAAATATGGTTGATTATCCTAGTCAGATTTGTAGTTCTGAAGTGAAAGGATTGCTACCTCCACAGCCACACAGCGGAAGAGAAGGCATCCCTTTACCTGCACAAATGGAAATTAAAGTTGTCAAATACTGCAGCTGAATTCACTCACACAAGGAGTGGGCTCAAGCAAGGAGAAGTAAACTCAGGAGCTTATATTGTACTTTTAACAAAAAATTCAGGATCCCTCTTTAAAACTATACTTACAGGCTCCCAAATGAATTTCTTAAAGGCATGTGAAATTGTACCTAACCGATAGAGAGCAAGCAAAAACTTCAAAAAGGTCAGATATTACATACTGCAAAAGAATAATTTTGTGAAACCCCTTTTCAGATAGGTAAGCAGCATAAAAACTTTTACCATGACATGCTTTAAGAAGCAAATGTTCACTGATACCATGCTTCACTGCCGTAAACAGAAACTGAGTTGGTACTCCAGTTTTCCTCTTGCAACAGGCAGGCCATTGAACACATTCATCATTTAACTCTTTGTTGAACAAACACGTTGTTGATCAACCTATAACTTCATGGATTTCTGAATAAGAACCTCAGTGGGTATTTATTTTCAGAATCTAATCTCTCTGTACCAAAAACTATACCTAACATGCCATTTTCCATCAACATTGAACATGTAAATTCTTTTTTTGCATTTCTCAACATAACAAAGAACTGATATAAAAGAGCAAATAAAACTGAAAATAACATTTAAAGCACTGTCAAACATTTTATTTAGCTTTTGAAAGGCAGTTATTGTATGCTAACTAGATGTCAAAATGATAGTTGAAAGCATGCTTCTTAAACTTTAATTCATGTAAGCCTTCAATTTGACATGTGATTAAATAAAAATTACACAGGAAAGATGCACTACAGCAGTGCTGTTGCTTAGGCTGAAAAATTGGAAAGTCTCAATTTTAACTTTTTTTAGTATGTTCTTTGCTTTCCAGGTTATCATCTTTGACATATTGTCTTGAATGCTTGATTTCTGATAGACAAAGACATTTTTGTTAAAAGAAGATAATAATAATAAATAATAACACAGAAACATTTTGGCAATACTTGACATCACTTCTGACTGCTGGCCCAACAACACAGCTCTCTCTTAGCAGAAACATTTATAAGGTATTATTTATACCTTAATATTTATTAATACCTTAATATTTATTAAGGTATTACTGTAGTTCTGAATATTTATTTTAAGAGCAACGCTATTGCTTACCTAGTAACTTCTAGGCGTTAATCCCGAAATAGGGTAGAATTTATATTTTCATAAACGTATATAAATCTTGGCTCCAGAAAATTTGTGCCTTAAGGTGTGCACTGGCTATCTGAGTGGGAAGATTATCAAGTAGTTCACATGTGACACAAATATGAAATAACCTTACATCCAATATTCACACACAGAGCTATATAATGTGAATTCATTTTGTGATGGTACAAAAATTATGGCAGAGAGAAGTCTGCAGTATAGACGTTAGAACCTTAAGAGGCTGAAGTGTTTCTCAAATAAAGAGAAGATCTGTTCAATTTCATCTAGAAAACGGCCCTGTATTTTTCATTCCAAAGATTTCTAGACCATGTTTCCACCAATTTTCTTAGCATTCACAGTAGCTCTTGAAAGCCAGAGTTTTCCCACAGAGGCCTATCTTGATGGTATCTGCCACGATTTCATCAAAACCAAACCATTTCCAAAACTGGTTTTAATTACAAACCAATTCTGATATAAAAAAGTTACAATTTCTTCAGTCAGACATAGTTTACAGTTCACCAACATTTCCCCTGACTAACAAAACTACCCTTTTTGCATTCATCTAAAAACACACGTTCAACTTCACCTTTAGAAAAATAAAAATCCAACCTAAAAAATCTAACCCAGTCTAGTCAGACATATTCAACTAATGATCGGTTGCCACACATCAGAGTAAGGGTCCCCATTTTTATAACGCGGATGCCTATTTGGGAACTAGAGTAAGCCCCTGACACCCTCCAGAAGCCGCGTGAGCAGGCTCCCTTGCAGCTCTCCGGCTTGGCCTGGGTGCTGCTTCGGGAACTCACCTTCCAGCCTGGGTACGACAGAATTCAACTTGCAGGCCTGAAAGTCCTTTGCTATCTATATCCTTAGCTCAGCAACAGGCAGGTTGTTTAGGGCAAATATAAAACACAAAGTGAACTGCATTCAAATATACCAGAAGTGACTTTATTCTAATTTACTCTAATCTATGTTGGATAAGTTGCTAGTGAATTGAAAAGTAGTTTTTAGTTCATTCAGGCATCAGGGGAGGATTTGCTGCTGCCATTTGTACAGCTGTATTGCAACAGATTTGAAAATGAGAATTATATACACTAAAATTCGTATTTTATAATTTCCACAGTGCCCTTCGTTAACAGAGCAACTGCATGTCTACTTTAAGACAAAATACAAGCAAATATAAAACACATTCAC